ACGACACCGCGCCGCTCAGCGAGCTGCAGGACACTCGTGTTTCCATCACCATCCTCATCAGCAACATCATCGGCATCATCAGCAACATCAGCAATAACAACATCATCACCATAGCCGTCACCAGCATCGCCATCGTCACCGCCGTCGTCTTCCACAGCGTGGCCGTCGTCAGCATCATCAGGGACATCATCGTCATCATCATCATCATCATCATCATCATCATCATCATCATCAGCATCATCAGCAGCAGCATCATCAGCATCAGCATCATCATCATCAATATCAGCATCGTCATCATTCTCATCATCGTTAACATCATCATCGCCATCACCGTCATCATCACCAACGTCAACATCATCATTTCTGTTGCCGTCGCGCCATCAGCTTCGGCACACCGCGGGCCCCACCGAAAGCCCCAACGGAAGAGTCCGCATGGCACAGTCGCTTCAGTTTGCCACACCACTCACACGGTTCGTGGTCCCATAGGGCTCCACCGACGGCCCCAGTGGGAGGGTCCGCATGGCGCCGCCGCATCATGTTGGCGCATCCCTCGCAGGGTTCGTGGCCTCAGGGAGCCCCACCGAAGGCCCAAATGAGGGCCCGCATGGCACCACCACGCGGTTCGCGGGTCCAGAGCTCCACCGCAAGCCCCAGTGAGGGTCCGCATGGTGCCACCGCCGAATGCCCCAATGACCAGGTCAGCATGCGCCCGACGCCCATTTTGGTACACGCCTCACACGTGTCGCGGCCCAAGTGGCTGCGCTCGCATGGCGCCGCCACACCAATTTCGGCACGCTCCTCACACGGTCCGCGGCGCCATAGGAGCTCCACCCCAAACCCCAACGGAAGGGTCAGTATGACACCGCCGCTTCAGCTCGCCACGCCACTCACACGGCGGCTCCACCGATGGCCCCAATGGGAATATCCGTATGACACTGCCGCCCATGGCGCGCCGCAACCCTGTGGCCACATGGTGAGCCCCACCGACGGCTCAACGGAACAGTCAGCATGGCCCCGTCGAGAGCCCCACCGAAAGCTCAAACGACAAAGTTCGCATGCGCCCTCCCGACTCATGTCGGCACGCCTTTCACGCGCTTCGTGGCAGAAGGCCGTGTCTCATGCGCCACTCGGAGTTTGCGCGGCCTGCATAGTGTTGGGTCCGTCGCCAGGGCGTTGTGTTTCGAGGGGGGTGCGGGCAGGGCTATGAAAAGAGGAGGAAGAAGCTGATGATGCTGCTGCTTATGATGGTGATGATGGTGATGATGATGATGATGGTGAGGATGAGAGTGAGGGTGATGGCGAGGAGGATGATGATGATGAGGAGGAGGCGGCGGAGAGGGAGGAGGGGGGGTGGAGAAAAAAGAGGAGGGGGGAACGGCTGAGAGAGAGAGAGAGTGCGAGAGAGAGAGAGAGATATCGAGAGAAAGAGAGAGAGAGAAAGACGAAGAGAGAGAGAGAGAGAGAGAGAGAAAAAAAGAGAAAGCGAGAGAGAGAGAGAGAGTGAACGAGAGTGAGAGGGAGCGAGCGAGCGAGCGAGAGAACGAGAGAGAGGGAGCGATATGGTTATATAAGACACTCGGGCCCCCAGTCGCCGCGCCCGAAGCGCCATCGTGGCCCTGGCGACGGCGTTCCAGAGGCGGCGGCGGCGATGCTGGAGGCGCATCGCACTCGTCGTCGTCGCCCTCCTCCCCCCCCCTCCTCCTCCTCCTCCTCCCCATCCTCATCCTCCTCCGCCCCCTCCTCCTTCCCCCCACGCCCCTCCGAAGTGGCCGCGCGCCGACCCCGCCCCCCACGTCGTCGGACGGCACGACCGACGACGACTAGGAGGGGTGGGGACCCCTTCTCCTCAGATCGTTCCTCATGCTCCTCCTCGCCCATCCTCGCCCCCCGCTCCTCCTCAACCTCCCCATCCTCCTCACCGTCCTCGCCATACATGCCCCACCCCCCACCCTCCCCTCTCATCCCCATCCTCGCCATCCCTCTCATCCTCCTCCTCCCCCGTCCTCCTCACCCATCCTCCCCCCCCTCATCACCTAGCTAATCTCCTCCTCGCCCACCTCCCGCGATCCCGCAGGCGGACGCTGCGGATGCTGCGGCGGCGGCAGAGGCGAACGACAAGCGCAAGGCGGGCGTCGGCGTCGTCATCGTTGTCGTCGTGATCGTCGAGTTCGGTTTCCCCAGACAGTGCTTGCACTTAGGACTTCGATGAGCACCTCCCAGGCGCTCAAGCCTTCACACCCCAAACAGTGCTTGCACTTAGGTTTGGTGAGGTCTCTGACCCCAGACGGTGCTTGCACTGAAGGCTGGGTCTCAACCAACTCCTGTGGAGCGGGGGTGCATTGCAGCATCATTCACGCGTTCTCGGTGCACTCTGGTCGTCTTCCTCCCCCGCCCGCCCCGCGTGATTTCGGGCGTAGTCCGAATGTGTATCTCGCGCAGTCCTGTCCAGCCCATGGGCTGGACAGGACTGGACAGGACTGGACTGGCTGGTCGCGCAGGTTACGCGCCTGTTTCGTCCTCGGCGGCCGAGGGATGCAACCTATGGCACGACCCTCCTATTATCAGCTGCCGAGGGCGCATGGCGCAACCAATCGGACGGGGAGGAGTACGAGGGCGATGAGGACGAGGCCTAGGACGAACGGCGACGACGACTACGACGACGTCGACAACGACAACGGCGAAACCGAGCACGCCGACGGGGCCTAGAGCGGGGCCACGGCCGATTTATGCTCGTCGTTTGGACTGGCCGAAGCGGTGAGGTTCTTCAGTAGCCATTTAGGCCCCAGCCAAGTGGTTCGGATCTGGCGAGGGCGGGCGCGGACAGCGCCGTCGGAGGCGCAGGCGCGGCGAGTGCGCCGATGGCCAAGGACGTGGACGTCAAGAAGGGCGTCGCGGCCCTGAAGCCGTACGCGACGACGCCGACGTTCCTGAAGTACAGCAACAAGATCAGGAGGGCCCCGATCTGCCAGGCCGCGATCGTGAAGCTCGCGCCGATGTTCAAGAAGCTCATCAAGGTGGCGCCGAACCTGGGCATCACGAAGAGCACCATGGAAGAGATCTTGATGGTGCTGTCGTCGGAGGAGCACAACGGCTTCGAGTTTCGAAGCAAGCGCGAGAGGAAAGAGTGGGCGGACGAGATGGGCAAGCGAATGCGCGGCATCTGCCGCCACGTCCAGCAGTACCGCGTCAAGCGCGACGTGGCTCCAGATTGGTTCAGGCAGCTAGGCTTCGATCCCATCGACGGCGGCTTCGAAGAAGGCGACGACGGGGAGGAGGAGGTAGAGGAGGAGAACGACAGCCAGTTCGAGCCCGACGGCGAAGTCGACGCTTCAGGCGATGACGGCGAGCCGCTCATCAGCAAGAAGCCAGCGGTGACCGACAGCCAGTCCACAGACGTGGGCATGAGGCGGCCTGCAGCCGCGTCAGACGCGCACGTGGAGTACGACTATTTCTGGGACAACGAGAACGTGATCGGCTGCAGGCGGCCGAAGGGCGCGAAGCAGACCGACCACCCAGAGATGGCGGTGCGGGTGGGCTGGAAGCATGGCGCCGATGATAGCGACAATGTGGGCTGCAGTTTCAAGGACGGCACAGAGGTTGTCTTCCCTCAGATGACGGTGGCTAACTACAAGAAGATCAAGGGCGACGTCGACGGGAGTGGAGGCGGGGCTGCAGCCCCGAAAAAGCAGCCTGCCAAGGCCAAGTCTGCGGGTATTCCTCGCATCGATGCCGAACTCTTCAGCGGCACGAGCACCTTGGGTGAGGACGTCAAGGTGCAGATGCGGTGGGACCAACCGAGTGGGAAACCCAAGGTGCGCCTCTGCTGCATCAGGGTGTCTGACAGCCCCCAGCTCCTCCAGATGAACATCGAGAACTTCCATCACCATCCAGGTGGCGAGCTCGAGTGGGAGAGGAAGTGCATCTTGTGGTGCAACGCAGTGGCCAAGAAGTACTGCGACGGCGAGCTGACGCAGGCGGAGGCCAAGCAGATGAAGGTCGACTACATGGCGAAGCGTGGGGACACGGGCAGCGCTGGCGAGATGAAGAAGCCGATGATGAAGGCCGCGGGCGTGAAGAAGAAGCCGATGATGCACGGCGCCCCAGCACCCCAGCCCGCTGCGCCGCCCGTGGCTAAGGCCGAGTCCGTGCTGGCGACCCCCAAGAGGCGGCCCGCGGGCACGGTGGCATCTCCCGAACCTTGCGCTGCGCAGGCAGATGCCGCTGCTGGCGCGGCTGCGCCGTCGAATGCCCCGAGCCCGCCTGCCAAGAAGGGCAGGATCCTCCCGCCGCCGCCATCGGATTCGGAGTAGCCCCCGAGACGAGGTAGTCATATCACCGCCGTCGCCACTCATCCTGGTCGCGAGTGGGTAGGCCCAAGAGGGCCTCAGAAGGCCAGCGTTTGTTGTTCGAGTAGGGCACAAATAATGTTTGTAACTAACGCGCGATGTTTGCCAGACAACGGTATGGGGGGACAAACACCAAAACCTAGATATACATGTATATGCACATAGGCTGTCACGCACATCAAATAGTCGACAACCCGATGAGCACCACACGGGCTGGAACATAGTTTCGCGTTAAGGCGAAACTCTGTTCCAGCCACTCGGGTCTGGAAAGTATTGTTTCCTGCACGTAGGTTGCAGCCCGCCGTAGGGTGCACACTATCTAGAACTGTTTGTGGGTCCGCGCTGGGGGTTCACATTGCGTTGGGGTCCGCACTGTTTGGGGTCGACGACGGCGACTCGCCGCCCGTAGGCGGAGCTCTGCGGCGACGGCGTGTCGGCCCCGAGCGAGGGCGGCGGCGCGGGCGCCGCCACGGCGGCCGAGACGAAGAAGATGGAGCCCGAAGCGCCCGAGCCCACAGAGGCTTCTGGCTTCCGAAACGAAAGAGAGAGAGAGAGAGGGGGGAGAGAGAGAGAGAGATAGACACACAAGTGGTCGTCCGATGGTCATCCGATGGTCATCGGACGGCCATCGGACGGTCATTCGATGGTCATCCGATGGTCATCGGACGGCCATCGGACGGCCATCCGATGGTCATCGGGTTGTCATCGGAGGGTCATCGGATGCTCCTCTCCAGGAGTGGTCGGTCTCCCCGCCGCTGTCTCCCCGCATTGGCCCGCCCGATATCGACTGGGGCGACGTCGACACACCGTCAGCCACGTTCGGCCTCCCGAGTCCCTGGGGATCGGCTGGCGAGGCCGAACCCGCCGAGGTCGACATGCATCCCGACCCGACAGCGGGGGGCGCGATGAGGGTCGAGGCGCCGATCGACGAGGACGCGATGAGCGTCGAAGTGCCGACCGACGAGGAGTCGACCGACGAGGATTCGACGTTTCCTAAACATGTGGGGGGGGGTGGTACCCCCGTCGCTCCCAACCTCCTCCTCAACCCCCCATCATCCGCATTCTCCTCATTCTCCCCCTCCTCCTCCTCCCCTTCGTCCTCCTCCTCATCCTCCCCACCCCCCACCAGCCCTTTTGGGCAGCCAGCCAGGCTGACAGGGTGCCCGTGCCAGTGGCCATCACTTGCACCGACGCGGTGGACTCCGAGGCCTTCCTGATGAACGCGTTCCTGCAACAGTCGCTGCTGGCTCCCGAGGGCAGCCGCGGCCACTTCGAGAGCGACGGCGAGGACGACGAGCAGGAGCTGACAGATGAGCAGAAGGAGGCCAGGGCCAAGCTGGAGAGGTCCAGGGATTTGGTCCTGGAGGCGTGTGCCAACGAGGGCTTCGAGGTGCCCGCAGGATCGGCCATCGGGAAGCGGTTCAAGACTTGGTTGAAGAACAACCAGGACGAGTTCGAGAAATACGAAGCGATGAGCAACGACAAGAAGACCACGTGGCGGGAGAATTGGGCCAAGGAGCAGTTCGATTCGTACATGCAGAAGCGGAAGCACACCACCGAGAAGGCCCAGACCTCGTGGGCGCGCGCCAAGTGGATGAACATGGGCCAGCTGATCCAGCAGCAGGGCGGCGGGGCCTTCCCGAACAAGAGGGTTATCGAGGGCGCGGTCAACATCGCGCAGGACTGCATGAAGAAGGGGCGCAAGTGGGTCCGCATCAGCAAGCGCAGCAAGAGGATCGAGTTCAAGCACATCGAAGACGGCGAGGACACAATCAACACGGAGAAGTGGTCTCGGTCGGAGCGGGAGTGCAACAACGCTGAGCAGGGGGGGGGCACAGAGCCCTCGGCAGCGGCGCAGGCCCAGCCTGGGCAGTCGAGTGCAGCGCTGCCTGCGCAGCACGTGCAGCAGCAGCAGCAGCAGCAGCAGCAGCAGCAGCACCAGCAGCAGCACCAGCAGCCAGGGCAGGCGGGCACGGCTGCAGCTGTGGCCAAGCCCGCGGCCAAGCCCGCGGCCAAGCCCACGGCCAAGGGCAAGGCCAAGGCGAAGGCCAAGGGCAAAGCGAAGCAGAAGGCGAAGGCACCTGCCAAGATGCTGACTGACTTGGTGGGCAAGTACAGCGTCGCGATGACCCAGACCAACTCTCTCATGGCGAAGATCCAGCAGCAGGACAGCCCAATGAAGAAGTGGGCGGACACCCCGAAGTTCCAGGGCAGGCTGCAGGGGGCGCTGAACTACGTGCAGCAGCTGCTCGACGAGAACAAGGGCCTGAAGTTGGCGCTGACGCTCGGCGACATGACGCAGGTGAACCCCGACGATAGGCACACGATGTCCGAGATGGAGAAGCTGCAGGAGGCCCTCGGGAAGCTGGACGAGATCCGCGCGAAGATCAACAGCATCGCCGAGGACAGCGACAGTGACTAGGCCGTGCAAGGAGGCCGCACTCACCACTTTCAGGGCGCCAGCTGGCCACGTAGCTAGCAGGCGGGTGGCCCAGGATGCATGGGCCAGCGACTCGCGTGTGTTCGAGGGACCACGTGGGGACGGGGTCACACGAGAGTCGGCCCGTGCATGCGTTGGGGAGTGGCCCCCGCTCGAGCGCCAACCTCAGAGACGGGGCGCCGTAGCGCTCCGTGCCCGTTTGGTGGCACAACAGCAGGCGGAAAACGCACCTCCGTGTCCTCCTCCTTCCTCCTCGGGACCCTCTGGAATCGATGTTCATTCCCGTGATTTGCTGTTTCCGATCCTGGCCCGCGTCTGGGGAACGAAATGTGTGCGAGCAAGCGGCGAGAAACATGCCGCAGTGCTAGGAAACCACAAAAAAACGGCGCCACAACCAACCACAAACGCAAACTCGCTGCTCAATCGCGTGATCTGCTCGGGGTCACTCGACGGTCATCCGACGGTCATCCGACGGTCATCCGATGGTCATCCGATGGTCATCCGACGGTCATCCAACGGTCATCCGACGGTCATCCGACGGTCATCCGACGGTCATCCGACGGTCATCGGTGGGCATCCCGACGCTCCCGCTCGAGACATCCTCCAATCCCCGGAATAAACTGGCGTGGTCATCCGGTGGTCATCCGATGGTCATCCGATGGTCATCCGACGGTCATCCGATGGTCATCCGATGGTCATCCGACGGTCATCCGATGGTCATCCGATGGTCATCCGATGGTCATCGATGGTCACCCCTAAATGCACGTGTAAGTGTGCTAATCGGTGCGCGGGGGCCACATCCCCCCTTCGTGCGGGCCCAGGCTGAGGGGCGCCGCCGAGGTTTGGCCAGGTCCAGAGCGGGCCTAGTTCTACTCGGGGCGGCCCAGGGGGGGGGGGGCAGGGCGCTGAGGTCGAGTAGGAAAAGGCGAGGATGAGGAGGGGAGGGGGGGCAATGAGGAGGAAGAGGAGCAGGAGATGGAGGATGAGGAGGCCGAGGAACCACGCTATCTAGACTCGCCTCCCACATCGCCCCGCCCTCCCCCCTCTGATTTAATCAGGATTCGAGTTGACGGAGCTTGTTCGTCGCCACGGTCGCTCTCGGCTTGAAATGTTCATGGGTTAACTGGGGGGAGGGGTCTGCGAAGTGGCCCGCGGCGCCCTCCCCAACGGCGTCGTCGCCATCGTCGCCGTTGTAGCTGCTTTGGCCCGAGGGCGTTTCATTTTCCTGGGATGCCGAGGAAGCGAAAGCGATCCTCGTCCAGCGCGTCAGCAGGCCGAGTCTTCACATGGGAGCAGCCCAGCGATGACGAGGACGCCATTGGAGATGGCGCCAGCGGCTTGGAGGAGCATCTTTTGAGACTTTACGCGGCTGGGTCATTATCTGCAAAGGCGTTTTGTATTGCATGTTATTGGGCTACCAAAGCTGGTGTGAAAAGCGATTCACTCTCCAGATACGCGAAAAGCCCAGAGTCCGCAAGTGGAGAGTTCAGCAAACATCTAAAAAAACATTTGCCCTCAGCCGAGGGTGCCCCCGAGTTGCACCAAATCACGATGCCAATATCTTCTAAAGGGTCTCGCAGCTCAAAAGTTACGTTGATGGCTCCGCCCCACGAGGTGTTGAACGCAGAATTGGAGAGAATGTACGATGATGGCGCGCCTCTGGAAAGCCCTAGCCCTGGGGATTGGGCTCACACTTTTGAGGGGCACCCGCGCAGGCACCGTGATCGCGACGAGCGACCTGTCTTTCCCGTGGCGCTGTATGTAGACGGGGTGAAATTTACCAGGAGCATCGGCCCAGGTCGGGCTGATAGTGTAATAGTGTTCACATGCTACAATCTATGCACGACCCGACGGCACCTTTTAGCAGTGATATCTAAGCGTGAGCTCTGCAAATGCGGGTGCAAAGGTTGGGACACACTATGGAGCGTCATGAATTATTTAAAGTGGTCGTTCACGGCTGCGGCGGAAGGCGTTCGTCCGCGGGAGCGGTGGGATGGGGAGGTTTTTGCTCCAGAGTCTGTGTCAGGGCGCTTGCGTTATTCGAGCCCTCAGTGCGTTGCCCGTTTTCTGTTGTGCCAAGTGAAGGGGGATTGGTCTGAGTATTGCACGACGTTCGGATTCCCCACGTGGCAATCCTATTGGAGGCCGTGTCTGTATTGTTCCTGTACAAGAAAAACGATGTTTGATTTTTCGCACGTGTGCGCGGGCGGTCACGGTTGGGGGGAGGTTGCCAACACATACGACGACGCTTGTCAAACATGTGAGATCATCATAGACGTTGACACCGAGAACATACGCAAGCTTATCGTAGACGAGGGGGGGCTGAAATATGACAAGCGAAGAAAAGGCAATGGGCTGGTGATCCCAAAAAACGTACCCGCATTAAAACTGAACAAGTGGGATCGTCTCGACCCGAGCTTCACTCTTCAGGACACATCGGAAGTGTACACTAAGGCCCTGCCGTTCGCGTGTTCTTTCTGGCGCTGTCACCGAGACCCGAAAGGGCGGTTGATGGACAGGTTGCTCCGTAGGAATCCGCTTTTCTGCGCGGAAGTGGGGGTGAGCCCAGAGACAGTTCTTCACACCGACACATTGCACACATTATACTTGGGAATATATGCTAGATATGTATTTGAAGTGTTGATAACTGCAATTGAGGAAGATATATGGGGCATCGAAGGGACCAAAGAGGAGCGTGAGGAACTGGCGTGCAGGAGATTGTTGAACGATTTCAAAAACTGGGCCCAAGATCCCGAGAATGCTGTGCCACTCTCTTATCAGATTCGCACACTCACCCCGAAAATGCTAGGCACGCGGTCTGCGCCTGCCTTGAAGACCAAGGCGGCGGAGACTGGCGTGTTGACCCGTTGGGCGGTAGAGTTCTGCAGGACGTCTGGCGCCAGAATGGTCAGAGCGAAAGTTATGATGAATGCTGGCGAGTGCTTGTTAGAATACGCTAGAATTCTCAAGGAGTCCCCGCATCACGTGGAACCCGCTAAGTACGATCGCCTCGTGTTTCTGTGTCTGCGCCATTTGGCGCTCATGGGCGATGTGGGCGGGGGCTATCTCCCGAAGGCGCACATGTGGGTGCATATGACATTGAAAATACCAGAATGCGGCAACCCAAGAACATACAGCACGTTTCACGATGAAAGTTTAAACTTAGTCTTAGCTGGGGTTGCCGCAGCAGCTCATCGGTCGACGTGGGAGCGTTCGATATTTGAGAGAATTCGGCTCCTGCCACTGGTCGATTCCAAGTCTGCATTCGCAGTCTTGTGACGAGGGGGGAGGGTCGGGTGGAACTCATGAGGCGGAGTGGGAGGTGGAGGGTCGGTGGCAACACCCACGGACTGTTCGCACTTATAAGTCGACGCATCCCTGGTGCATAGAGACACGGGGGGGACCGCCATCGCCGCCGCCATCTCCATCGCCGTCGACGCCGACGTCGACGCGAGGCCCGCGCCCCCCCTGCTTGCAAGGGCTGGTCGTGGTGCCTCGGTGTCAGCAAGGCGGGTCTGGGCCTTTGGGCTCCGTCGTGCTGAGGCTGAAGCCTCAAGGCTGGCTCTTGTGAGCCCCTCAGCCCGCTCCGCGGGCTCAACAGACTTCTCGGTTCTTGCGGTATCGGTTGCGCCCTTGGCCGCCGAGCTTGGTTGCGCCATATGTTGCGCCGCCGCCGAGCTTGGTTGCGCCATATGGTGCGCCCTCGGGTCCTTGGACCCCTCTTGGGGTTCATGTCAATCATGGGCCCCTCCTGGGCTCCATATGTCGTCGTCGTCGTCGGCGTCGCCGTCGCCGTCGCTGTGCGGTGGCCCAAGAGTTTCACTTGGGCGCGTCAGACTCCCCCCATCTCGCGCAGGGGAGTGGGCCCTTCCGCCCCATGGGGAAACGGGGCGCGACCACCCAGTACAGCTTCAGGAAGACACGCAGGCTCCCCGAGAATATCGTCCCTGGCGATTGGCAGGACTCGACCCCCCCTCCCCCTCCACATCCCTCCTCCCCCCCACCCCGAGCCGATAGATCCACAGTCCGCCAGGACGTCGGCAAGACTATTTTGGCGGGTGGCACCCCCGAGCTCTCCATGCTGAACCTCAGCTGCGGGATGGATGCTGCCACGCTCGCAGTCAAAGAGGAGTGTTTTTTTGTTTCAGTCATCTTGCGGTGGTGGGCCCTCGTTTTGAATAGACAGTGCCCCGCGTCACTCACCTCTCGCTGCCCTCATCCCCATTCGTCGCATCATCAGCATCATCATCACCAGCACCATCAGCATAATCAGCATCATCAGCAGCATCATCATCATTAACAACATCATCCTCAGCAGCATCAGCATCATCATCATCATCATCATCATCGTCATCAGCAGCAACATCACTCTCCTCATCCTCAGCAACAGCATCATCGTCATAATCAACATCGTCGTCAGCAGCATCACCAGCATCATCATATTTACCATCAGCCTCATCACCATCACCATCTTCAACATCATCGTATTCATCGCCATCAGCATCAGCATCGTCGCCATCCTCAACATCGTCATTATCATCGTCACAATCATCACCACCATCCTCAATATCATGGCCGTCAGCACCGTCACCATCATCGTCACCATCACCATCATCTGCATCATCATCGCTGTTAACGTCACCAGTAGATTCGTGGTCCTACAGAGAGCTCCACCGAAGGCCCCAGCGAGAGGGCCCGCATGGCACCGCCACTTCATGTTGGCACACGCGGCACCATAGGGACCCCCACCGAGTGCCCAAGCGAGGGGGGGGGGGGGTCCGCATGACGCCGCCGCTCAATGGTGGCGCACCCCTCACACAGTGAGCTTCACCGACGGCCTCAGTGGGAGGATCCGCGTGGCACCGCCGCCCCATTTTGGCGCACCACTCACGCGGCCTGCAAGTGCAATAGGGTGCTCCACCGAAGGCCCCAATGGATGGATCCGCATGGCACCGCCGCCTTATTTTGGGTAGCCCCACCGA